TAAATCAGGAAAAACAAAAACAAAAACAAACAGCATAGAACTGGGGAAATGGACAACAGGCCCCAACCTTTGCTGAACTATTGGCAGCTGATTACTGCTGGGTGAGAGAGAGTTGATCTTCTTTAAGGGAGAGACTCTAGGTAGGCTGACTAGACCCCAGTGGATGAATTTGCACTGAGTGATGTCTGGGTACACTAACTTGGTTCAATAGGCCTTAACATACGTGACAGAATGCATGAAATTCAGTGGGGGGGGGATATAGGAGGGTGTAGATGGGGGAAGGGGTATGAAGATGATTAAGATGTTTTGTATAAAATGCACAAAATTCAATAAAAATACGTAAAAAAAAATAAAAAAACGACTGTTTTAAAAATTCTAAAGTGTTAGGCTGGAGGTATGGCTCAGTGGTAGAGAACTTAACATAGCACTTGAACCCTGGTTCAAGGCCCTGGGTTTAATCTTTAACACTAGTTAATTAGTCAGTCAATTAATAGGCCTGGTAGTATACAACTGTAGTTTCAGCACTGAAATCTGAGACAGGAGGATTTGAAACTCAAAGCCTGGCTAGAAAGTGAGGCCCTATCTCAAAAATACCTAAACAGGACTGGGGATGTAGCTCAACTGGAAGAATCCTTGCCCTGGGTTACATCCAGCATAAACTGGACTTGGTGGTACATACCTGTAATCCTAGTGCTTGGGAGGTGGAAGTGGGGGTGGTCAGGAGTTCAAGGTCATCCTTACAGGAGTTGGTTTTTTTCCTTTTACCATGTGGGGACTGAACTTCAGGTTGTCAGGCTTGGTGGCAAGTGTCTTAACCTACTGAACCATCTTACCAGCATTGAATTTGTTTTTTAATACACAGGACCTTCAGATGTCCACATGATTGCAGGGGCCTGCTTCTCTTTGGGTTTTTGATTTGCCAGCTCAGAAAACTTAGCAAGATGTCATTCTGCCTCCCTGTTCCCTTGGAAACTATAATACGGCTATTCCTTGGATTCTTCCTGGTGAAGGCCTCTGTACCACAATTCTGTGAGGGCTTTATTGACTCTAAGCATCCTCTGGCTTGCCCACTTTATTTTACTTTAAGTTTCATTTTATTTTTTGAGACAGGATTTCATGTAGTCTGGACTGGCCTCAAATTTCCCAGTGCAGCCAGTGATGGCTTTGAATGTCTGCTTCTACTGTACAGACATGCAACCACACCCGGAAAAACTCCTTTTATTTTTGTTTTTTTGAGGTGGTACTGAGGATAGAATAGAACAAGGCCAGTTTTCTAACACTGACCTATATTCCAGCCTGCTACCCAAGTCTTAGGCATCTCCCTCCTCCCTCCATGTGGGAATATTTCAATTCAGAGCTATACGAGGGAGTGCCCTTAGAAGTGGGTATTGGCACCCTGGGCACCTCTTCTCTCCTTTTGCTTCCTGACTGCTATGAGCTTTGCTCTGCCGCACACTCCATCATGGCATTCTTCCTGCAATACAGGCCCCCAGACAACGGAGCCAAACAGCTCCGTACTGAAACCTCAGTAGCTGTGAGCCCAAATAAGTATCTCTTTTAAGTTGTTTATCGAAGGTGTATTTGTTACAGCAATGGAACTGACCAACACAAGTCTTTTTTTTTTTGTTTTTTTTTTTTTTTTTTTTTTTTGGTCTTTTTGAAACATGGACTCCTTGTAGCCCAAGCTGACCTGGAACTTGCTATGTAAACCAGGCTGGCCTTGAACTCTCACAGAGGTCCACCTGCCTCTGCCTTACTACTACTGGGATTAAAGGCACGCCCTGCCGGCACCCCTGGCCCAGCACTTCTTGCAGGTTTTATAGAGAGATCAACTTTTCCTCTTGTACCACTGGTATGCTCTGGTACCAACAGTATGCCGCACCCACGCAGATCTAGAAGTACACCTAATTTTGTTAAAAAGTAACTATTAGCTCTCTTGAGAAATTTTCCAAGGGACTCAGGCTTAATCCTTCATTGCATGACACTTCTAGTCATAGAATTTGGGTCTGGAATGGCATACAACTAATGGAAGGCAAGGGGAAAACTTTTGTGTGTGGGAGTTTCTGTCCTTCAATTTAAGATGATTCTTACTTTCTTCTAGATCTTGTGTAGCAATGTAAGGCTGGGCAATTTTGTAGTTACCTTATCCCAGGCATGGATTTAAAGCTGATACCTTTGTGGATATGTAGAATATGTAGAAGGCCACTGAACTGTGGAGAATCAGATTGGGGGTGGGGGGAGAGCTGGAGAGATGGCTCGGTGCTGCTCTTGCAGGGGACCAGGTTCAATTACCAGCACCCACATCGTATCTAACAACTGTCCATAACTCCAGTTCCAGGGGAATCCAATGCCGTCTTCTGACCTCTGTGGGCACTGCACAATACAGGTGTACTTACACACATGCAGGAAATACACTCATACACATAATATAAAAATAATAAAGTGTGTACAAAAAAGAGAATCAGATCTGGAGTTTGATTGATCTACGCTTATAAATTATCACTTTGCCAACAGTCTTTTAAAAATTAGGCTTAATCCAGCACTTGGGAGGCAGAGGCAGATGGATCTTTGTGAGTTCAAGGCCAGCCTGGTCTACATAATAAGTTCCAGGCCAGCTGGGGCTACAGAGAGACCCTGTCTAAAAAAAAATGCTTAAATTGGATTTCCAATTTGAGAACTTTTTGAATGGGGTGGGGCTTTTTTTCTTTTAAAAAATATTTTGTTACTTTTATTTTATGTGCATGAGTGTATTGCCTGCCAGTATGTTCATGCACTTGTGTCATGCAATGCTTGCAGAGGTCAGAAGAGGGTGTCAGATCCCCCTGGAAATAGAGTTATGGATGGTTGTTAGCCGCCTTGTGGGTGCTGGGAACCAAACCAAGAGCAACCAGTGATCTAACTGCTGAGCCATCTCTCCAGTCTTGTGAATTGGGCTTTCTGTTTTACTCAGTCTGAAGGTGTTCTGACTGGAACTTCCATATTGGGTTCCTCTCTGGGCAGATGAACAGCCATTGGAAGAGATGATTCCCACAAGATATCTCTTGTGTCAGGCAGGATTCCATTATCTCAAGATTGTGTACCAAGTTAACACCATCAGATTTCTAGCAACAGTTGCCCATTGCAAAAGAAAGTTCCCAGATAGAACTCCTGAATCTTTGAAGAATTTCCTGAAAGGCTGACCAACTGATTAGCACTCCAGAGATTGTGGAGAGTCTGGAACGCTACAGATCCAGAGCTTATTTACAAATTAACTGGGGACATCTTTAACCCCATAAATAGCCACACCTTGCCTAGCTGTGTTTCTGAATTAACATTCTTGTGACTAATAAAATGTATTAACTTAGCAGACCACCAGGTCCCACTAAGCTAAGAATGCAATCAGATAACATCTGAGACCTGTAGTAGGACTCCACCCTTTGCTATGACCTGCCTACTGAATGTATCCACCAATGTATTTGAAAAGTGTCTTGATCTATGACTTTTCTTTGTTCTGTAACTATAAAAACATAATGTAACTGTTACCACGCTGGAACACGGAATTTGGGGTTACCGAATCTGTGTTCCCTGGCCATGGTCACTCATATCTGGCTCCAGAATAAACTATCTCTTATCCCTTTGAGGTGAAAATTATGCTTTTGTGGCACCATCATCTGCTGTAGTTTTGAAAACAGGCTCTCGTGTAGCCCAGGCTAGCCTCAAACTTGCCTTGTGTCCCCAGGGTGACCTTGAACTGCTGATCCTCCTGCTGTCACCTCAAGTGCCAGGGCTTCCTCACCAGGCTCCTCTGCTATACATCTAAGTCAGACCCCAGGTCTTTCTGGGCTCCTAGAATCCTCCTGTGAGACACAAGCTTCTTCCATAGTTGGATGAGGGGAGGAAGGGATTGATCAATACATTGATCAGACATACGAGATGACAATCAATTTACCAAGCCTTGCTAAAGAGACAGCCTGGGATTTTCCTAACTAATGACATTACATATTCCAAATTCCTTATTCATATCATTAATTGGACTCTTCATACTCTCTCTCTACAGCAGCAGTTTCTCCCTTATCCCACTTAATAATTTTTCATTTGTGTGTGTGTGTGTGTTTCTCCTGTGTGCACAACAGGTGCTGGATTCCCAACTCCAGTCTCCGTGGTGATTGAGCAGCAAGTCTCTGAACCGCGGAGCCATCTCTCCAGCGCCATCTCACTGTGTTTAAGCCAGTATCTCAATCTGTAGCCAAGCTGGTCTGTAACTGGTGATCTTCCTCCAACTAGTGACCCACAGCCTACAGAGTTCTGGATTACTGGCCTGTGCCACTAGCCACTATGTCTGGCTATAGCAGCAATTTCAAATCCTCATTCTCACCAATTTCCAGAGGAGGGGTGTGTGGGCATCGGCAGCAGCCACAGAAAACCGCCATTAAATCAAAGACCAACCAGCACATAATCTAACCCTGGGCTGAGCTAGCCTCGTGAAGCCCAAAGGGATGTGAAGTAGATCAGTGTGACCCCAAAGGAAGAAACAGCAATAAAGGGAGGCAGCTGCTAAACCCTGGCGATGACTACGGGGAAAATACCAGAGGATGCCCCACCCGCTGGCTCACATTCATAGCCAGTCTAGTCACAAAGTCGGGGCCTTGGGGCCTAGGCAGTCCAGGATCTGTAACGGAACATTCCGGGACCTCTCAGGCCCAGCCTGGGCTCAGCAGTCGGAGACCCAGGGTGGGCTTTGCTCAAGGTTTCTCTTCCCACTCGTGGTGGATGAAAACCTCGGGGCTCGCCCTTTGCTTTGGGAAGAGTACAGGCCTGAAAGAGGCCCACCAGGGTGGCGGAGGAGGGAGCTCAAACTCAGGACAGAGGGCTTGCAGCGCTCTTGGCCAGCCAGCTTCCCTGTGGGCCCCCAGGGAGGGGCAGCTGGAGCTAGAGCGCCTCCCAAAGAGCCCCCTGCAGACATCCCGCCCCAGCCCGGCCTCCCCCTTCTCCCACCGCGGGAGAAGGCCAACTCCTCCCGCCTGAGTCACGACCGGAGCTGGGGAGGAGCCGGGGAAAGGCGGCCCCAGCTCAGAGCGCAGCCATCGGCCGCCTGGAGCGCCGGCAGGGCAGTCGGGGATCATGGGGGAGAGCACGCTGGAGCCGGGGCCTGCGCCCGAGGCGCCTGCTGGGGGCCCGGTGCATGCGGTGACCGTGGTGACCCTGTTGGAGAAGCTGGCCTCCATGCTGGAGGCGTTGCGGGAGCGGCAGGGCGGCCTGGCGCAGAGGCAGGGCGGCCTGGCGGGCTCGGTGCGCCACATCCAGAGCGGCCTGGGCGCGCTGAGTCGCAGCCACGACACCACCAGCAACACGCTGGCGCAGCTGCTGGCCAAGGCGGAGCGCGTGGGTTCCCACGCGGACGCAGCCCAGGCGCGGGCCATGCACCGCGCTGCTCAGGTGCAGCGGCTGGAGGCCAACCACGGGCTTCTGGTGGCGCGCGGTAAGCTGCACGTCCTGCTCTTTAAGGTCAGTAACCTCAGGCATCCTCCAACCTGGCACCCCAATCCCCCTCCGCAAGGCCACCCTCTCGGTACTCCCCGCCTTCCACCCGCCTATTACCTCCACATTCCTGACCCCACGCACCGTCTCAGCTGTGCAACAGACTTTCAGAGCCGCACCCACATCCCACGTCGCGGCCTATCCCTCCCTCATCCCCAGCCTGGCCAGTCCACGCCCCCACTTCTCTAGCTCAGGAGTCTGCAGACTTGGTCTGTTTCAATCAGAAGAAAGTAACGGTGACAGAAGGGCTTTCCAGATGATTCTCTGTTTCCTCCAAGTGCCCAGGCATCTGTATCTTTATTTCACACCTTAATAGAGTTTCACCTACTTAACAAACTTCTGCAGTTAATTGTTGGCCCTCCCTCTGCATCCCTCTGCATTCCTGCGCTCTTTCCCCGCCCCCTACGTTCCCTGTCTTTTGGTCCTCACTCCGAGTGCAGAGGCAGAGGGTGGGGTGGCTTCCCCTTGTGTAATTGAAGGGTTCGCAAGGGTCAAAGCTGTTGTCCTCGCATGCAGGAGGAGACAGAAATCCCAGCCCGCGTCTTCCAGAAGGCACCAGAGCTCTTGGGTCCGGAGGCCCAGTCGGAGCTTGTGCCAGAACAGCCAGAGGATGAAGTTGGGGAGAGCTCCGACGAGGAGCCAGTGGAGTCCAGGGCTCAGCGGCTGAGGCGCACCGGGCTGCAGAAGGTACAAAGCCTAAGAAGGGCCCTTTCCAGCCGGAAAGGCCCCGAAACAGCACCACCCACGCCGGCCAAGCCTCCTCGCCTTGGGTCTGGCCGGAGCTCGGAATCCCAGCCCATAGCCCAGCCTGCGCCAGAGTCCCAGCTGGAGCCTGCGCTGGAGCCAGAGCCCCCACAGGATACCCAGGACGATCCTGGGAGGCCTGGGGCTGCTGGGGCTGCGGAAGCAGCTCGGCTTCAAATAGAGAGTGCAGCCTGATCCAGGCGCTTCCTGTTCCCCTGGAGTCTATGGCTTGTCCCAGAAAAAAAAAGCGCAGCGCTTACATCCTAATAAGGAGAGAATCCTGCATGCACTGCCCAGCTCTGACCCTCCCTTCCCGGCCTTTCAGTCTAGTACCCAGAATCCTCTGAAAGAGGAGCAGTGGGACTCGTCACACCTGATTTACACTCACCATCAATAAAAGTTAATTTCATCTAACCCAGACTCCTTGTGAAAAGGGTGAGGGTGTGTACCGGATGGAGAAGGCAGTGGCAGGAGCAAGCCGGATGCAGCCGAATGTGGCTGAATGTCAAATGTTTCAACACTTTTCAATGAATTCTGGGCTCTCCTCCACTGGCATTTAGAAGTAGCCTGCTGGCCACTTGCTCCTTAAACACTTGGCTCAGGAGGACATAAAAGTGCAAATTCGGGCACAGCAGGGGCAGTGTGCAGTTCTTTGATGGAACTACCCAAATAAACGATAACGGCTTCTCGTTTAGTCTTTTCTACCTATACCCCCTCCCCACCCCCGAGAGTTGGGTTTCACCAGCCCCAATTTTCCTATTTCTGGTTGACACACCCTGGCCTCTCCCAGCAGCCACATACAACCCAGACCACTGTCATGAGGTACATCAAAAGCAGCACTCTGTCTTCTACTTAAAATTAGACAACACAAAACAGAACCTGATAGCTTGAGAGAGCATAGGCCACTTACAGTTGAGCCTCTCCACACAAAGGGACAGTGTGATAAGTTGACTTCATAAGGGAAACAAAATTCACAAAATGAATGTCTGTAACAAAGCATAAAATATAAAAAATGGATTTTCTTTAGCTTCTGTTATGGTTTGCATCTGAGATGTCCCCTGTGTGCTCACATGTTGGGACTGTAGTTGCCAGTGGATGGAGTCTTTGGGTCAGGATGAATCCTGAGGGTTCTGTGCTAATCCGTGGATTAAGCCCTCGATGGATTCATAATATTATCGGGAGGTGGTGAGAAGTAGGAAGTGAGACTTAACTGGAAATAGTCACTGGGTGTGTGCCCTGGACAGATGGACTTGTCCCCTGTCCTTTATTGCCTGTGTGCTTTCTGCTTCTCAAAAGGTGAGCATCCTCAGCCAGGTGCATCTGCTGCCAAAATATTCTGCCCCACTCAGGCTGAGTTCTAATAGTCCAGCTGACCTTGGGCCAAGACCTCCAAAACCATGAGCCAAAACAAATCATCCTTTTAAACTGTGTCTTTCTCTAAGGTATTTGTCCCAGCAATGGAAAACTAACACAGATTTATAATCAGTTATTGAACTTCTTTTTGATATATTTACTTTTTTAAGCCTCTGTTTAGCAGCATCTTCTATATAAGTACAGATACGCTGGTAAATATTTTAATTGTCCTGGAGTGAGAATTATAGTTCTCATCTCAAATTTATGATGTACTTTCTTACCTGTATTTACATACAATTCATTTTCATTATAAGATATTCTTAGTGTTTATTTTAATCAACATATTACATAGAAAATAATCCCAGGTTTTTTGTTGATTTATTGTGTATCTTTTGAAACAGGGTCTTGCTATGTTGCGTTGGTTAGCACTGAACTCTCTATTTAGCTCAGGCTGTTGTCTATCCAGTGGTCTATCTGACTGCCTCTACCTCCCAAGGGCTGGGATCACAAGTTAGTGCTGTCATGCCCAGCTACAAACATGCCAAGCTAAGAACATTTTTGATTTTTAAAAGAGTAATTTTGAGGCTGGAGAGGTGGCTCAGGGGTTAAGAACACTGGTTGTTCTTGCAGAAGACCTGGGTTCGAATCCCAGCACCCACATGGCAGCTAACAACTGTCCATAACTCCAGTCCCAGGGGATCCGACAGCCTCCTCTGACTTCCGCGGGCATTGCACGATACGGGTGCACTTACCTACACATAGGCAATATACGCATACACATAAAATAAAAATAAATAAAAAATGTTTAAAAAGTTATTTTATTTTATGTGTATGAGTCTATTACCTGCATGTGTGTAAATGCACCCTTGTCATGCAGTGCCTGTGGAGGTCAGAAGAAGACATCAGATTCTCTGGAACTGGAGTTACGGACAGTTGTTAGGCTCCATGTAGGTGCTGGGAACTGAACCAGGGTTCTCTGCAAGAGCAGCCAGTGCTCTTAACTGCTGAGCCATCTCTCAAGCCCCTTAAATGAGTAATTTTAATACTACAGCATGAAGAGTTAATTCAACCCGATGCTTAATGGGATAACTGCAATATATAATTTAATTTACAACTATAGAAAAATGTTTGATTTCTAAATTATAACCATGAGAGGCTGCATAGTTACAAACAGTGGAATACTAGAAAACAGGGAATGGACAAATAAGCGTGATTTTTCATCAGTGGCTATTCATAATTTTTCTTTTAGAAACCCAGAGAAACTGTCATTTTTGAATAAGTCTTGCCAGGATCTGAGGACTGGGTAAGACACCAGTGAGAGATGACATTTGAGTGATGGGGGCATGGTCCCTCCTATAATCTACCCAAAAGAAGCGGTCCAATGACTGGTGGTATGTTTCTATTGTCTAACTTTAAAAAGAAGTGTGTGTGTGTGTGTGTGTGTGTGTGTATGTGTGTCACTGTACATGTGTGGAGGTCAAAGGACAACTTTCTTTACTGGGTTCTGTCCACCACAGGTTCTGATGATGGCCTGCATGTCATCAGGCTTGTGTGGCAAACACTCTTACCCTTTGTGACACCTTTCTGGTCCTCTGTCTTTCTTGTACCTTTTAACTAAGTTCTATTCCAGGCCCTTCTAAGTATGGTTCAAAATTTCACTTTCTCCTGTGTTTTCTTACTCCTGAATGGCGCCAACATAAATCATATCAGCCTCCTAATTCCCATCTTCAGTGCAGCTCCATCAGAATCAGGCTTAAGATCTTCAGTCCTCTTGTGAGTTGGTCCCTTTCTATCTCTCGCTATGTCTCCTCAAGCTACTGCAGGTTGAACATTTCCGATCCAAAAATCTGAAATCTGAAGTCTGAAATTCCAAATGCTCCAAAACCTGAGCATTGAAATGGTGTCTCAAGTGGAAAATTCCACATCTGACCTCATATGATAGGTCATGGGCAAATTGCAGGTGCACTAAAAATATTGTGCAAAATTACCTTTGAGCTCTGTGTATGAAAACAAATGAGTATTATACTTGGATTTGGGTTCCGGCCCCAAGATCTCTTATCATGCATATGCAAATGCTTTGCTCCAAAATCTGGGAAAAAACAAAACAACACATGATATCCAGAGCGCTTCTGGTTCCAAGTATTTTGGATAAGGAAACCTGAACCTGTGTTGTCATATTGAACTGCGCTCTCTCAGTTTCTATTCTCCCGCAAAACTCATCAAGGCGCATTTGCCTCAGCGCCGGGTGCTTCTTTCCCGTGCTTCCAAGGAATCACGTGCCCACCCCTCACTGCTGGTGGCACGGACTGTGATTGAGGTTGAGATTACTTTAGTAAGGGACTGTCATGCTTCTGTGCTGCTAATGCTTATTATGACCACGAGGTGTCACTGTCGGGATGCCAGTGTCCCAGTCCTTGCTTCAGTTACCCCCACCCCACTTCCCTGTCTGTTCAACCAGACTTGGGAGGGCAGGGGGCGGTTGACGGAAGTGGTAGGGGCTTTGTGGGTGTGGGGTACAGGGTTTTTTTCATGGAGGGCAGCTCTGTACTAGGGACATATCATCTAGAGAAATTAAGGGCTTCTCTTGCAGACTCCCAAACCTTGGTACTCAGATCACCCCAACTTCCCTTTCCAGATTCTGCGCCTGACCTCTGGGGTAAGAGCAGGGTGCACTTTATATCTCCAAGGAAAAAGAAATTTTTGTTTTCACAAATCCCTAGGAACCCACCAGATTTCCATCTTTCGACCCACCAAACAAAATTAAGAGCTCAGAGGCACATTTTCCATATAAATTGTCTTAGTCCCTAACTCTAGAAACCCAAAGGCTTGGCGGACTTCCAAGAAGGTGGAAGGTTGCTTTTTATTCCTTCCTAATTGGTTCACAGTAGAAAATAATAGAATCAAGTTAAAACAAAATTAGTTCTATTTCTTGATAGTCCACTTTGTTACATTATATTCTCAGTTGTCAGCGCTATAATAATTATTAATATAATTATGGAGGCAAGGGCATGGAGACACAGACAGAGCCCCAGCTTGCAGTCCAGCCATACAGCATGGACACATCTGCTTTAAGCAGGCTGCTGCTCACTGATGGATCATTAAAGTTCAGAATTTGGTTCTCAGCAATTTAGGCCAGAAATGGGAGATTATTCTTTGTTCCAGCAGGATTTGGCTGATCTGAACTAGCAAAACTCAGAAAAGATTGATTAACTGGAGTGTTAGATTCATTAATTTCCCTAAGAAATATAACTGCCAAAGAAGTGGAACAATGTAGCCAGTGGGAACATTTTTCATCCCGTCACAAAGTCTATGAGGGAAGTTAAAGACAGATCTCAGAGTGTATAAAGATAATAGATAAGGTTATCTAATTTGTTTTCTACTGTGACATTTCTCCCGCATCCATAAGGAATGTGTGCCATCACAGGGAATTTCTTCTCGATGTAAGCACAGGAAATTCTGTGGGTTTTCCTTTGTTGCAAGTGGAGGACTCGGTTTCAGCATTTAAGACCACTCAAGGCACTGAGTCCACTAAAATGTCCCGTTCCATTGTGCTGTCTATCTTTAGCTGGCCTGTATTTGAAAAAGCCCAGGGTCAAAGAACCGACTGCTTCCCAGGCAACTATTATTAGACAACTGTAACTGACCAAAACGTTTTCTTTATTCTGGGATGAAAGTCTAGTGCTGGGCAGTTGGCTTTCCTTCTAGAGAATGTTGTGGAGGCTGGCTGTAGCAGGGCACCCTGGACCGACTCATCCAGATTTTCCCAGTCTCATCTTCAGCCCACACTATGGTTGTTCTCGTGATGTGTTCTTTCAAGTCTTGGCCTTTCTTCTGTGAATTGTCTTACTTTACTGGTGTCTGTTTTTAAAAGGTAGGTGTCAAGATTCCATGAAAAAATGTGGATTTCATACCCAAAAGCATCTGAGATTCACTGATGGTGAATTCCGATTTTGTTTACCAGAACTGTTATGAGAATTTTAAAAGACTGCTCAATTGGGCTGGGGTTGTAGGTCAGTGGTAGAGCATTTACCTAGCATTAAGCTCTAGGTTCAGTCCCCAGT